TTTATTATAATTAATATTATTAATATAATAATTAATAAATTTTAAAAATATATATTATTAATATTAAAAAACAACTATAGATTTAATTTGAATGATAAAAATAAAAATTGTTGTTGTTGTTGTTGATAAATTTGAAAAAAATATTATTACTGTTAGGGAAAAACAATAAAATTTATTTGAATAAATTAAAAACTATAAGAATTTGGGTCGGATGAATTTCATATTATTATTGTTGTTGATGATGTTGTCATTCTCACTAATAAATTTGAAAAAAAATATTACTAACAAAGAAAAAGCATAAAATTTATTTAGAGAGATTAAAAATTATAAAAACTTGAACTAGATAGGTTCAATGTTATTATTAATATTATAAATATTATTATATATGTTAATGGTATGAAATATAAAAAAAAATATTTCACCATAAAAAAAAAACATAGATTTGATTTGAAAAGTAAAATATATTGTTGTTGTTGTTGTTTCCGCTATTAACTTAAGTCAATTATCCCCTTCTAGAACTTGGGATTGAAAAGGGGATGCCTGATTCAAGTTACTTGGCCCTAGCAGGGACATCAAGTCTAAGTTACATAGGTCTTGCAACTCAATCAAGGTCAAAGCTTTTGGATTCGATGTCAGGATTCAAGATTCTAGGATTCAATGTTCAGATCCACAGTTCTTGGATTCAGCGTCTAGATTTAAGGATCCTGGGTTTATTGTTATAGCCAAACTCAGAGTTTTGTGGGTCCAGCATTTAAAAGAAGTCCAGTGCTCTTACACATATCGTTGTAACTAGATTCAAGACTCTCAAGGATAGTGTTGTGATTAGTACTTAAAAGTGCATAAAACTGTAGATTTAATTTGAATAAATTAAAAACCATAAGAATTTGGGTCGGATGAATTTTATATTATTATTGTTGTTGATGATGTTGTCATTCTCACTAATAAATTTTAAAAAAAATATTACTAACAAAGAAAAAGCATAAAAATTATTTAGAGAGATTAAAAATTATAAAAACTTGAACCAGATAGGTTCAATGTTATTATTAATATTATAAATATTATTATATATGTTAATAGTATGAAATATAAAAAAAATATTTCATCATAAAAAAAAAAACATAAATTTGATTTGAAAAGTAAAATATATTGTTGTTGTTGTTGTTTCCGCTATTAACTTAAGTCAATTATCTCCTTCTAGAACTTGGGATTGAAAAGGGGATGCCTGATTCAAGTTACTTGGCCCTAGCAGGGACATCAAGTCTAAGTTACATAGGTCTTGCAACTCAATCAAGGTCAAAGCTTTTGGATTCGATGTCAGGATTCAAGACTCTAGGATTCAATGTTCAGATCCACAGTTCTTGGATTCAGCGTCTAGATTTAAGGATCCTGGGTTTATTGTTATAGCCAGACTCAGAGTTTTGTGGGTCCAGCATTTAAAAGAAGTCCAGTGCTCTTACACGTATCGTTGTAACTGGATTCAAGACTCTCAAGGATAGTGTTGCAGTCGTATCCACTTAAATTCGAGTCAAATAAGTTAAATATTATTATTATAATTAATACAACAATTAATAGATTTGAAAAAAAATATTATTAATATTGAAAATAACTATAGATTTGTTTTAAAGGGTAAAATTAAAAAAAATTATTTTTATTTTTATTAAGATCATTAATAAATTTGAAATAAAATATTATTGGTATCGAAGAAAAACCATAAATTTATTTTGAAAATATTAAAAACTATAAAAACTCAAGTCAGACAAGTTTATTGTTGTCATTATCATTAATAAATTTAATGTGTGTGTGTGTGTTATTGTCAAAGAAAAACCATTAATTTTATTTGAAGGGATTGAAAACTATAAAAATTGAGTCAAACAAGTTTAATATTATTATATTCATTAATATGATTAAATTTCAAAAAACAAATATTATTAGTATCGCAAAAAAAAAAGATTATTATTGTTGTTGTTATTTTCGTTATTAATTTTGATATTATTATTATTGTTATTTTTTTTGTTATTAATTTTATTGTCCCGTTTCACACATAAGCAGCTTAACATTAAAAAGGAATGCTAAATTCAAGTTATTTTGATCTTACAATCAGGCCTAATACAAGATCTTGCGATCAAATGGTACAGCTAATCCACAACTCTTAGAGTTGGCCTTGTAAACTGATCCAAAACTCTTAGATACAGCGCTGCAGCTAAATCTAAATCTAGGCTCTTAGGTCAAACATTATAGTCATATCAAAGGTTTTTAAATTATTGTTTTTTTTTTATATTCTCATGTAAAAAAATAATAATTCACAGCATGACACATACAACTTAACTATAAAATGCTATTTTAACTCGTTGATATAGGTTTTTCATGTTAATTTTTACCTGTGGCTTTGCATTTAACACATCTATTTGAGATATGATTTGATTTAAAGGATAAACTTAAAAATTATTATAATTATTAGATCATTAATAAATTAGAAATAAAATATTGTTAATATTAAAAAAATATAAATTTAATTCAAAGAGGTTAAAAACTATAAGAACTTGTACATATAATTTTTTATTATTATTATTATCAATGTTATTGTTATTGTCATTATCATTGATAAATTTTAAAAAATATATATTATTAATGTCAAAGAAAAACCATCAATTTATTTGAAAAGATTAGAAACTATAAAAACTTGGATTAGATAAGTTTAATATTATTATTAATATTATTAAACTTCAAAAAAAAAACATCACAAAAAAAAAATAATTTAAAATAGAAAATCAATTATTATTATTGTTGTTATTAACTTAGATATAATATCTACTTTTATGCCTAAGCAATCTGGGACCAGAAAAAAACACTAAATTGAAGTCGCTTCAATTTTGCAACCTCGCGAAGCCTAGAATAAGATTCTAGGGTTTGATAGTTGGATTGATATAAAACTCTTGAAAATAACATTGTAATCATGTCTAAAGTCATACCCAAATCTAAACTCTTAAATCAGATATTATAGATATTATAGTCTAAAGGTCTTAAATATTTGCTTTTCTCCATATTTTTTTTTATGTAAAAAATTAATAATTCACGGCATAGCACGCTCGTCAATATAGCTTTTCCCCATGAATTTTTACCTGCGGCTTTCCATCCGGCACATCCTGTTGAGATACCTTGAATGCACCAAATATGAATGGATGGATGACACCCCCTCCCTCCCCCCTGTCCATCTTTGTAGCCATGTTTCTTATTGTATTACAGTATAGACTAATTATTTGAATCGGTTCCAAATAATATAATTTTATTTTGTAAAAAAATAAAATAAACATGTAAACTTTTTAAATGTTTTTTATAATAATTTTTTATTATGAATTAAAAATTATATATATACATACATATAATTCAATAAATCAAGAATTATCACTGCTATTAAATGAAAAAAATTGTCAGTGTGTCATTTCAAGCCATTAGTGGAAGGCAAAGTAATTTTTTAATGTAAAATAATTAATATGTAGGTATTATTAACATTTTTTTTGACATAGCATCAAGAATATAGCTATGAACAAAAAGTTAGTATTTAAATTTAATAAAACATACGAATATTGAATATTATATGTATCAATAAAAACATAAAAACATGTAAAATCTCAAATTAGTTTTAAATGTTTTAGAAAAATAGGACAATAATATAACTACTATGATAAAATACTAAATCTTTAATATCTGTATAATTATTTTTTTAAGAAAAAAGTGTAAAGAAAAAAAAGAAAAAAAAAAGACAACAAATAAAGATAAAAACAAAAAAAAATAGTGAAGACAACCTAAAAATGATGAATTTTGAAAACAACAACGATCTCAATCAACATAAGCAACAACTAAAATAATAAGGATTATATTAGAAAAATTAAAAAAAATATAGGGGATAAAATTAAAAAGTATTTGTAATTTGATATATTATTTATAGATTTTTTTAAAAAAATAAAAGGATTTAAAAAATAACAAAGAGATGAAATTAAAAAGAATCTATAATTTTATAGCTTGTTATAAAATAAAAAATAGTAATAAAAGAGGTTGTCTTTAAATTTCGTAAGGGCCGGTGCAAGATTTGAGTAGAAGAGATAAAAGAAAAATAAAATAAAATCACTGGCAACAAATTGCTGCGAATTTTAAAAAACACGTCATATCATCATGTATAAAGTGTTATGATCTCTCAGGAGGCAACATTTGGTAGCTGGATAGCTTCATATATGTCGTTTTAACGGTTTGAAAGCCACCCATTTGCTAATATTTATAATGTATAATTATAAATTTATAATAACACCCCTGAGCACTAATCTATGATAATAAAAATTAAAAAAACCTTACCAGAGAGTAGTTTTTTTTTTTGCACTAATCTAATATTTAAGATTTTTTTTATTCAAGACTAGGTAGTAATTTTTTATTCCAAATTCATCCTGAGATACACGTAGAATATTTATATTTCTTAGAACTTAATGTAATTTACACATGCTCTAATATTGACATGGAATGTATGATTGTATATTATTTATAATCCAGCGATTTCATATTTGTATATATACTTCAAATATATATTATAATTTTAATTCATTTCAAATTATTAATATTATTTAATAGATAATGAATATCTGAATCAGATAAAACTTGATAGATAGAGTATGACTATTAATAAAATAAAAATCTATGTGTGAATATCCATAATCATCCTTATTTTTTTATTTGCAAAAATCCACTGTCATATTTATTTCCTTGCAAAAGAACCCTTACTTTTGCATCCCCACCAAAGGACTCGCACGCTTTGATTATCAGCGGATCCCATGTGGCTTGTGGGTTGGCACCAGTCAATGCTGAAGCGGGCTTCCAAATCCAGGCCAATTGAATTGCAGATCCAAAATGAATCAAAGAGCAGTAAATGCATAGGTACGCAGGCTTTAGAAGATGGACGACGTGTCCTTTGCGTTTAGATGGACGACATGTTTCGTCTTCTTATCCCCGCAACTGTTTTTTTATTTCTTTTCTTTTTTCCGTCCTTCTCCCCTCTCTAGTCACAACTCACAGAAGAATAGAATGGGAAGTGCAGCAGCCCAAATCCCGACGAGCTTTGGACATGAGCTCAGAGCTTGTCTTCGTTGCCGCCTTGTCAAAACTTACGACCAGGTTCTCTTCTTGTTTTTCGCTGTTCTAATTCTTTGTACAGATTGTTGCTCATTAGGGTTTTGGACTTATTATTTATCGGTGAAATATTAATAATAAAAATGTGCAGTTCCGAGAGTCGGGATGCGAGAATTGTCCCTTTTTTAAGATGGACGAAGATCATGAGCGTGTCGTTGATTGCACAACTCCTAACTTTACCGGGTAGGCTAATCATCCTCCTTCCTCTTCCTTTTCTATTATCTCAACAACAATTCCTTCTTCCAGTAATTATTTTTCTCTATTTTTTTAATTTCTTCTCTTCTCATCCTATTTCATACCTTACTTTTTCTAACGTTATTGCAGGATAATTTCTGTTATGGATCCGAGTAGAAGCTGGGCTGCTCGCTGGTTGAGAATTGGTATGTTAAACAATAATCTCCGACTCTCTTTCTTCCTTTTTGTTTCTGCTTTCAGATACTTTCCGATCCCCAGTTTTTTCTTGTCTTTTCTTTTTTTACTTGTTTGTTGTGTTAGCTTATGTGAATTTTCGGAGTTGTGTCCAACCTTCCAAGGACATAATTCTGAATAGTTATAGGATTGAGGCCAAGTAGTATTCTTCCAGACTTGCGTAGATTTTATAAAGTTAGTTGCTTAGATGGTATTAAGTTAAAACCATGCAAGGAGATTCGAGGGTGATTCTCTCTTCAGTCACTATCTGATTCACTAACTCATTTGAATAATTATCACAAGAAATCTTTTCTTTAGGCGTAAGTTTTCATGATGCTCCTTTCCTATGGTATTCACACGTTGATTCCAACACATATTGAGTGTGGGGTGAAGCTTTTTTTATTTAATGATGGGAAATTCAGTTGGTGTGGTTTGAGAGTTGTTAGGATGGTTAAAGCTCCTTATCAAACACCACTTGTGGCAAGGTGCAGCACAGATAAACTATTAGTTGAAGTGTCTTTAGTGGTGCCACAGGTTCTGCATATTCATAAAGTGATGGATTTTGGGAATTTTGATATTCTGAACATTGTTCAGTTGATACTACTATAGTCCAATTGATTTCCTTTAGGGTGGGGATGGCAGTCAAATCGTGGCTTGCCCGTGAAAGGAAGACAATCGTTGCGTGCAATGCATAATGCCTCTGAGCCAGAACTATAATCTCCTAATTGATCTTCCCTCATCACCATGGACATTCTGGGGTCATTCCATTACTAGGATTAGACTGATCAGGTATCTAGATGTAGAAGCATGTCCATGCACGCAATTCTTGTTCTTTACAAGGGATGGTTTGACACGCAAAATTGTCATTGATACTTTAGTACCTCAATATATTTCTCCTTCTTAGATTCTGTAGGTTCTTTTTTTCTTTGTAAAGATTTTTGTCCATCTACTGTTCTAGATTTGAATATGTTATTAGAAAATTGGTTCTTTTTGCTTGATTCTTTTAAACCTGTTTCAGGAAGATTTGTACCTGGTTGTTATACACTTGCTGTTTCAGAGGCACTTCCAGAGGACTTACAGGTATAATTCATCATACCAAGCACATTATAGATGCTTTGTTTAAGCTTAATAAATATACACCACTTTTGCATCTTAGTTAACCAGCAGTAACTGTTTCCAGTTAAGATAAAGTACTATAAACTTCGTGCTGCATTTTTATGCTAATGACATGCTCAATTTATCCACCCACATTGGCTGTTTGTGGAAAATTTCTGTGTTGATGCTATGTTAGATATAAAAAGTGTTTTATGTCAGTGTGAAATATTACCACTCGCCACTCTTAGTTGCTGGAATGTGCAAAACTTCATTGAGACCTCTCACATTGTACACATGTTTGGGAGTTCATGTTTTATATATGTTTGGAAGTTGAAATTTGTAAAAGTGTTTAGTGTATGCTCTATCATGGCTAAGCTTTGTGCAAATTTGAAAGCATGCTGCTTGCACCATTTAATCCTATATTTTACTAGTCATGCCATCTGGTGCATGTTTAATTGTATTTTCCCAGACAATGAGCAGCTGAACTTTCATTCTTTCCTCCTCATTTTCTTAGTTGAAAGTTGTATCTGGCAGTATTTTTGTTTCTCGTGCTACCTGAAGTTAGAAGCTGATGATGCATTCATTCCCCATCTGGGATTATGAACGAAAAAATAGACTTTTCACTATATCCATTGGATCGGTCATAGGATTTTTGTGAGTTAAGCTGAGATATAGGTCAAAGATTCACCTTTAGTGCCGCCAATACTCTATAGCTGAAGAAGAGAATTTACCACAGAAACTTCTATCTTTGAATTCTTTTCCTCTTTTTAGCTGGAATGCTATGGCTCTTCTTGCACAATGTGCACATCAAGACTGGAATGTAGCACCACTGTAAAATCGTTACCTGCGCTAGTGGGTGTCTGCTGCACCCAGTGATTTGTTTATATCTGATTTTTATATTCCGCTCCATCTGGACTAACCCTTATGCTGGCCTCCTTGCAGAATTTATGTGAAGATGAGCGTGTGCCCTACATTCCACCAAAACGTGTATAAAAAATGACCAACTGAAGTTAACCTGCTTATCACACTGTAATATCTCAGACAAAGAACTTTTTGTGTTAGTTCTTAGATCCACAAGACTTCTTGCACAAGTGTTACACTGCTTTCTTAGCTGCTAATAGTCATATTGTTTTTTCACTGATGCTGCTGTTTGGGACCCTCTTTTCTTCTTCTTCCTCCTTTTTTTTTACCCGACAAAAAGCGCTCAGCGCTGCTGGAGTGATAGTTTGATGTGAGGAAAAAATGGATTTCGAGAGATTTTGTTCAGAACTGGAAACGAAATCTTCTCTCGGGTTTTCTGTTTTTGAAAAAAAATAATTTTTATTTTTTTTACTTTAAAATAATTTTTATTTTTATTTTTTGTATTTTCAGATTAAAAGCTCACTCAAAAATAAATTTTTAAAAATAATAAAAAATTTATTTTAATATATTGTTAAACAAAAATTATTTTAAAAAAGAACCAATATTATAATATAATAATGCAATCTTTTTGTGTATCAACCAGTTTCTAGAGAATAAGCATTGTTGAGTTAATAGTCAGGCCCATGCGAGAGAGATTTATAGGTGCGATTTGTCTTTGGGCCAGGTTTCTCTCAATAGAGAGATGGGTAGTGGCGTAGCCGGTTATCATAAAGTGTGAACACAAGGGAGCTTTACGAGTTACCAAAAAGACAAGTAATAAATGATTTTTTTTTTAGATTTAAGAAAACTTTAGTATTTTGTGGGTCTAATTAAATAAGTAAAATTTTATTTTAAAATATTTTTTGTGAGTTCAAATAAATAAATAAAACTTTGGTTATTTTAAGTTTTTATAAAAAATATATATCTTGACTTGAACTTGAAATCTACTGTATAGATTTCAAATTTTTCATCTGAAGGCCACACTCCTTGAGAACCAAGTAACTAATGAATGCCAAAACCCATTCTCATTTTGATTTTGATATATTCAAAGTGTGTTTATTTTTTAAATAATTTTTATAATTATAATGTTGAAAAATGAGTTTGAAAAAAATATAATTTAGTGTGGTTAATTGAATTTAGATATGTGTTTGATAAAAATTGTGATTAAAGTTTATGTGCAACAAAAAAATATATAAAATATTTAATTGTATTTACTTTTTAAAAGTATTGTTGCTTAGAAATATATTAAAATATTTTTAAAAAAAATTATTTTTGATACAGCATATTAAAATAATTTGAAAATATAAAAAATAAATTAATCTGAAGTAAAGAAAAAAATAAAAAAAATTAAACTTTTTAAAAATACTTAAAATATAAAAATAAATAAAATTTTATAAAAACCAGTTAAAAAACATATAAAAATTACTTCATACGAATTATATTTTAAATTTAATTTTTTAATGAGTATTGCAATATAAAACGTTTAATGTATTCCTAAATATCTAATTATGTTTTTCATAGCGCAGGTACAAAAGCTACTAAACAAACCCCCTATTGATATCTTCACCCAAATCAAAATCCACCACGTGGATGTTTGCTCTCGAGGAGATAATAATAAACACCAGGAAAGTTACCAATTATAACTGTAGTGTACATGAGCTGTCAAAAAATATTTGAAATCACTTCTTTTTGAATGGCTGATGTGGTTTGCTCTAATCATTGTGCCATTGAATTTGTCTAGTAAAAATCTCTCCAACAATGACGTTGGTGATTTCTTTATTTATCTTTTTTGTTTTTTCTCATCTCTCTCTACAAATTACAAATAAAAAAAACAAATATTTTAAAAATATATTTAAAATCTAATAATATTATTAAAAAAATCTTCAATAAATTCAATAACATTAAAAAATATTACCAAAGATAACTAGAATAAATTACATAAATTATTTAAAAAATAAATTTTGATATATTTGAACGACTCATTGATTTAATTTATTTATTATTTATGATATGTTTTCAATATTATTAAATTTATTTTATTAAGAATTTTTTAATAATATTAATATTGTTATTATTATAGTTTTCATGTGGCTGTAAAAAAATTTTCTTTTTTTTTTCGTGTTTTTTTCCTCCTTTTCCTTTTTTTATATCATTCTATTTTACTACCAATATTGTAGATAACAATTGTTACCCGTGAGTTAAGCTTATTTAATATTCTCTGAGATATATTATTTCAATAAAAAAATTTTAGAGTCCGAAAATATTTCATGTATCGCTGATCCATCATCTTGCGTGCACTAGACTGGGGTGAAGACCTGTTCTGTAGGTTTTTTTTTTTTTAAATGTACCAACAAAAAAGAAAAAAAAAGAAAAATAATAGTTCAGTAAATGAAGAGGAAGGAATAAAAGGGGAATGTGGAATATTCCGTTGCGTGGTAATGGTATATGCTGATATGCATGACTTCATTGGATAAAAATAAAGAAGAAGAAGAATTAATTTAAATTAAATGTTCAATGGTCTTTCTATAATCAACTGAAATCTCTCGTGTTTCATATGTTTTAAGAGTTTAGAGTTGATTTGAAAGTGTGATTATAATTAATTTTTTTAAAAAATATATATTAATAATTTTTTTATTTTTTAAAAGTTACATTAACACATTATAATAATTTAAAAATATATTAATTTAAAATTAATAAATGTTTTTTAAAATTTAATTTTTTTTTAAAACACATAAAATACAGCTCTTAGTTGTGCTTTTCTGCGTCAGCAGCACGAGTGCAAGCACAAGCAGCAACAAGCGTCATTTAATAGAGATTAGAGAGAGACAGGAGCAACCACCGTTTCGGGTTTTAGATATTAACACATATATTTAGAGAGAGAGGGACAGAGACAGGAGAAGAAACGGGCAGCAGCAGCATCTACCAACGGGCAGGGGCAGCAGCAGGAGCAGGAGCTACCCCCAGCACTTTGCATTGGGTAGACTTACCGCCATTTCTTGTCCTTTCCTTCTTCTTCTGATTTCATATTCATAATTAATTAATTTCCTTCTTGTTCCCTTACAGTAAGTTGTTGAAGCTAAATCAATCTATCAATCAATCTTCTCTTCTTCTTCTTCTTCAGTTGGATCTGCCGGTTTCAAACACTGAATGAATGGATGATAATTGATCTACTTGCTTACATGGATAGATAGGCAGATACATGTCTTTTTTTATGATAGAAATATACAAATATTAATTTGTTTTTGTGGCAGAAATAAAAATAAAAATCAAATGGCCACCATAGACATAGAAGGACTCCTAAAGGAGCACCTGGATGATGAAGAGGGGCGTGTCCCCAAGACTAAGATCGTTTGCACTCTGGGACCTGCTTCTCGATCCGTACCCATGCTCGAGAAGCTTCTCAGAGCTGGCATGAACGTTGCTCGCTTCAATTTCTCCCATGGCACCCACGAGTACCACCAGGAGACCTTGAACAATCTCAGGATTGCTATGCAAAACACCAACATCCTCTCTGCTGTCATGCTCGATACCAAGGTCTCTGCTCTTTTTTCCATCTCCCGTTGATGATGCATTTTTCCTTGTCAATTAGGCATCTACAATCACATCAGTTTCTCTCTTGATGAGATCGATATCCATGTCCCTTTTTTTGGACAGATAATGAAGCATTTGCACCTAATTAAGCAGAGCACTTATTTGTCCTGTCTTTCTTCTTCTTTGTACTCACAAGCACATGTTTATGTACCTCCATAACCTTTTGTCTTAGGGACCTGAGATTCGTACCGGTTTCCTGAAAGATGGAAAACCTATTCAGCTGAAGGAAGGTCAGGAAATCACCATCACTACTGATTACAGCATCAAGGGTGACACAGACACGATCTCCATGAGCTACAAAAAACTGCCTGTGGATGTCAAGCCTGGGAATACCATATTGTGTGCAGATGGCACCATCACCCTCACTGTCTTATCTTGTGATCCCCTGGTTGGAACTGTCAGGTGCCGTTGTGAGAACACTGCGGTGCTTGGCGAGAGAAAAAATGTTAATCTTCCTGGCGTTGTAGTAGATCTTCCCACACTGACAGAGAAGGATGAGGAAGACATTTTGGAATGGGGTGTTCCCAACAACATTGATATGATTGCCCTTTCTTTTGTACGCAAGGGCTCCGATCTTGTTAACGTGCGTAAGGTTCTTGGGCCCCATGCCAAGCAGATACAGTTAATGTCAAAGGTAGAATTCCCTCTTTTGTATTCTGTTTGAGTTCATAACAGAGCGCATGCATGTGCGGGAGGCATCATCGAGCTTATATTCCCACAACTGCATCTCGGCATCTCCATGTCCAGGATATTAGCTGATATAATCGTTTCTTTATCATGCTTCTTGTTTTTTTTTTTTTTTTTTGTATAAATTTCAATCAAATAATAAATAATTTGATTCCTTTGGTTTTGTTAGGTTGAGAACCAGGAGGGAGTAATTAACTTCGATGAGATCTTGCGTGAGACTGACTCCTTCATGGTTGCTCGTGGTGATCTTGGACTGGAGATTCCAGTTGAGAAGATTTTCCTAGCACAAAAGATGATGATATACAAGTGCAATCTTGTTGGCAAGCCTGTTGTGACTGCTACTCAGATGCTCGAGTCTATGATCAAGTCTCCTAGGCCAACCCGTGCGGAAGCAACTGATGTTGCTAACGCTGTCCTCGATGGCACTGACTGTGTTATGCTCAGCGGAGAGAGTGCAGCTGGGGCCTATCCAGAGCTTGCAGTCAAGATAATGCGTCGAATTTGTATTGAAGCAGAATCCTCCCTTGACTATGGTGCCATCTTCAAGGATATGATAAGATCAATTCCACTTCCTATGAGCCCATTGGAGAGTCTCGCATCCTCGGCTGTACGTACTGCTAACAAGGCCAAAGCAAAGCTCATTGTGGTGTTGACACGTGGTGGGACCACAGCCAAATTGGTTGCCAAGTACCGGCCAGCTGTCCCAATCCTTTCCGTGGTTGTTCCCGTACTGACTACCGATTCATTTGACTGGGCATGTAGTGATGAGACCCCTGCAAGGCATAGTCTGATATATAGGGGCTTGATTCCCCTTTTAGCAGAAGGATCAGCCAAGGCCACGGATGCAGAATCTACAGAGATGATTTTGGAAGCTGCTCTCAAGTCAGCAACAGCGAGGGGGTTGTGCAAGCCTGGTGATGCGGTTGTTGCACTTCATCGCATCGGAGCTGCCTCTGTTATTAAAATATGCATAGTGAAATGAGCAGGTATGTGCAACAAAGTGCCTTAGACACGGCCAGAGAGGGCATCAAGATGGAAGTTTATTGCTAGCATGGTATCTCTTATGCTCGTGCTTCTTGTGGACGGTTATTGGAGAATTGGATTATTTCCTTTTATCTTGCCTGAGTCATTTATCCTGCCTGAGTCATGTTAGGTGGTACTCTTATCTCCGTTTAGATTAGGCAGGTAGCATATATAAAATAAGCAGCAGAGCCCTTCAACTTTCTTATAAAGACTACCTCGTTGCTTCTTGTTGAGCAGTACATGCTCAAGATTATGATTTGGATGAAGCGATAACGCATCTTCCGGCAGAATTCGGAAATGACATCCCAATTCCTTTGGTTACCGCGCCACACTAAATGACTTCACCACTAATAAAGACAGTTACACCACCGAGGTAAGGCTTTTTAATTCGTTTACACCGCAACTATCATGTAATGTGCAAGAAGGCAAGGCAAAAGAATACAACGTAAGCTCATGCCCGGCATTTGGTATTGTTCTCCACGCTGGCTCTTCCGGCCAATTTTGGATATAAGCAGAATCCTCCTTTGACTATTCAATTTTGTTGAAGACGTAAAACTAATAAAAGGACGATGTGGCCACTTGCAGAGTTAAATGGGAGTTGATTGAAGATGTAGAAGGTAGTTAAATGGGTGGATGATCCGCCAATAATTAAGTTGACGCTTGAGGCCGTAGAAACTGATTAGGAAATAAAGTAGTGTTTGTTCTTCTAATAGGGGAATGGCAGGTCTGCATTCCTCTAGTGAGGTTAATGCCTGGACGAGGGGGGCATCCTAATTCTTGATCAGCGTCCACCAGGCGAGCCTTTCTTGATCGGGTTTTCATTTGCTGATAGTGGCTTAGCATATAAAATAACAAGCAGCGCCGCGCCCCGTCATTCACTTGTGACGACTAGCTCTCGCCAGAATAGAAAGGATAAAATGGAAAAAAGGAAATGAATTACTAAGTTGAGTATTTCCAGGCATCGAGAGCCTCTAATGAACCAAAAGAAGAGAAGAAGAATGGCGTTCCATCACTTGTCCGCAGAGACACAGCTAATAAAAGATAAGCGCGATCTAAGGATGCACAGCATAACCAGTTGGCGGAGTGTTCTCCCTTGATAGAAGATTTCTGACACATCGTGCTTTCTCAACTGCGAAGCATTACCTGTTCTGCCAACTTGCACTCGTTTTCCTCAGAATTGTAAGCATAATGATCCCATCTTATGGCTTCTAGTAACTGCAAATGGCTTTTTCATTGGGAAAAAAAAAAAAAAACGAAAACCAACGATAATCAGCCCATTGCCCTGTACCAAAGTCGGAGAAACAGATAGCTTCTCATAGATGGAGGAATTGCTCAGTTCTCCTGCAAAAACAAACCATGACTAAGGTTCAGAATTCAGAATCACAATGATTCAGATTTCATCAATCAATACTCAATCCATCTTTCAACCGCATAAAATTTTGTCTACAACAACCTCCTGCACAATATCAAATGCACCTTTCAACGAAAAAAAGGATTTTATGTGCCATCAAAATTTGGTTTACATGATCATCAAGTAAAACCACTAATACACAGACAATCTTGGTTACATCTACTTAACTAATGCAAATCCCCTCTTACACTCCCCAGAATTTTACATCTCTCTGCAACTAACTCTCTACGTCTGCTAATGCAAATCAAGGAACATTCGATGTTCTCTCATTGGAATCTTCTGAATCTGAACCATCAACCATCTTCTCAAGTGAATCCATATCACCAGCTTCAGAAAGAGCGTGCAAACGAAGTTTGTCAGCATCTTCACTGTTAAGAACGAAAAAAAGTTGTTAGTGTTCATTTGTTAACAGACCATGGATAATGGAAATGCTCAAATACAACTCTTCCCATCATTTTCAACTTTCTACAAAATAATCAAATGGATAGTAAAAGTTCGTGAATGAAAAGCATACTCTGCAACCCCAAATATTTCCTTCACGACTAAGGAGCTGTCCCTTGAACAGAACTCTGGCAGCTGGTCCAAAAGCAAAACAAAAACACAACCAGTTCAATAAATTTAGATAGCAGCCAAATAAAAACAAGTCCATCTCTTAGTTTCAAGTACAATAAAGCTCTTGAAGCAACCGATGGAGTTCATTGGGGGTTGGAATGAACTAATCAGTGCTGACAATCCAAGAGCTACAAGCAAATGAATGTCTTGAGGCCACTACGGTAATATGAATTATGTTATTTCCATGATCTCATGAATCACTTCTAAAGGTTAGGCAGATTAGATGCAATAATTCAAAAAAGCAGTAAAGATGGAGAAGGAAAAAAAGCTGTGAAATCTGAAATAAAAATATAAGCTAGCGAAAGCTATTAACAGCTAACTGTTCAACCGCTCACCTCAGACAAATAGAAGACCTTGCCAAAAAGGGCCTGCACTGCAAGTTTTCTCTTAAATCCCTTTTCAGAATACCCTGACATATTCATGACAACTGGGCCTGAAAGCACAGAAAACAAAATCAGAGCGCTGAAAATTAGGTCTTTTTAACCTAACTATCATTTTCTTCGTTCCTTTTTAGGATAATTGGTAAAAACTACCTATATCTTTGGACACAACATACACATTACAATCCCACCCCCATCCCCCTACTCCAACAACCCCCTCACACTCAAATAAAAATTAAAAGAACCAAGAACCAATTGTCGAGAGTAAAGAAGTCGAAACATGAACAGCTCTAATTAACATTTCAGCATGCTAAACATGTTTTTGCATCCTTATACTCAAACAAGCCTCAAGCGAGCAACTACTGAATGAACTCGAAGATCCTTACAAATCAAATCAAGAGGAGAACAGGGGTCATAATTCGATGTTCGACCTAAAGAATTTCCAGGATGAATAAGTAATGCCATAAAGAACTACCTTTCTCCCGAACAATTCGTCTTGAGATCTCATTCAAAAGTTCAGCAACCTGGGAGTCATCCAACATCGAAGCTTTCCTGAGCTGGATTAAGTTGGCAACTAGTTCCGGATTAAATGGTTTCTCATTCAAAGCATAACGAATGTACTTGCGCACAATATCCACCATGGTAAAACCTGTCTGGATATGAATTAGCAATTGCCATCAAAACCAAAATGATAGTGGAGAAGATGCACCAAATTATTATGGTAGAGGATAAAGAATGAACCGTCACCAGACAGACCTCTAGCTAGAACAAAAATTCTATTGGAGAAAAAAAAACCCTTTAAATGGGACCGAGTTAATTCAAGATGAGACATTTCCGTGGCTTTAAACAACGAAACTATATCACTTTCAAATGCAAATGCAATGAAAACCTGAGCTCATTTCAAATGTAAAACTTTTGGGCAGTTAAAGTATGATCCATGAATAAAACTTTTAAGTTGTGGGTTATGTGAGTCACACCCTTTTCTCCATTCCTTCGAGAGCTGCATGTTGTTGGGATGCATCTGCTCCTACTTCTCCTCCTCCTCCTTTCTGAAACAATTCATCAATGGATTTGCACAGCATAGCATTTTTGTTGACCTGAAATGAAATAAGTATGGTCAAAATTGGAATAATCACAAGCACCTCATAAGTAGTAAAATAAGGAATTATTGCTAGGAAAATGCAAAAAAAAGAAAAAAAAAAGGAAGCAACCAGTTTCTTGCGCTTGTATCTGGGAGACCCAAACTTCTTGACGGTCTTAACAAAGGCAATAACGAAAGTAATGCCAGCATAAGCGAGAGGAAGAGCGAGAATCCAAGGCAAGGAGCTCTGGCCCACTCTGGGACCTGGAATTGCTTGGGTGACAGACCCTGTGAATTCTACCAGGTCCAAAGCTTTCTCTTGAATCCAAGGCAATTCCCCCCCCCCCTCTATCGTCTCTTCTTCCTCCTCTTCCTTTTTTCCATTCTTGTCCTTTTGGATTGCACTGGAACTGCTCTTCCCATCAGCAGCAGCGGCCGCCACAACACCAACTACTCTTGCTCCGGCCCTTTGTGCGTGCAGAGATATAGAGTTTGGAAACGAAACGAGACGAAAAGAAGGCGTGCGCCTAGAGATAGAAGGCAAGGGATGGGTTAGTTGGGGACTTCTTAGGCGTTGAGAACAGGAAGAGGAGGCAGAGGCAGTGGCAAGGAAAGCCATAACATGAGAAGGAAAGATGCAAAACTGAGTTGGGGGATGCAGGTGATTCTGGGCAGCGTGGGTTTCTGTTTTGTTTGTGGGTTTTAATAATCAGAGCAGACAGCAAAGGAAGGCGTAGGCCATGGGCCCAATGGCTCTCACGCGCTTCAGTCGCAATGGGCTGCACTGCTCGCTCTGTTACTAAGCTTCTTTGGGCTTTTTTATCTCGTTATATATATTTTTCACATCCTTTCTCTGTTCAGATAAAATTTATATTTCAGTAAGAAATAAAATGAAAATTGATAGAGAATGTAATTTGCTTGAATTTAATTTAACAAGGTCTTTTCATTCCATTATCAACACTGAAATAGTGAAGGTTTATGTAGATGGAGCTCATAATTTATATACTCCTTTGTTTAAATAATATATTTGATGTCTGTCCAGCCAAAAAGAGAAATTTCTTCTTTGAAAATTAGCAACCTCTAGCAAAATAGATAATAATTTTAAATTCTAAAATTCAGGTTTGATAAAATATTTATTTAAAAATAATTTTGTATCAAAAAACTAAATGTATTGAAAAAAATACTTGACTAAAAATTTATTATTTAAAAACCTCCGTGAATGACAACACAAAATTAGTTATTTTATGACAAGTCAGTTTGTGATTTTTATCCTTAAAACAAATATTTTTTTTTCTACGAAAAAATTTAAAAAAAACTTATATTTATTCTCCAACTTACTGTTGAAAATTTTAACTAAAAAACATAATATAATCTCTTCTAATTAATTTTAATAGATTCATTTTGAATTTCAAGCTAATATGTTTAAATTAATAATTAATTATCATAAATTTAATAATAAAATACACCCCTAAATAATGTTTAATGATAATAAACCTGAATTAAAAAATTCAACATTAAATAAAAAATAAAATAATAAAAACAAAGTATTTATGCTAAATTTCTCATTTAGCTTAAATTTTAAATTTTTATATATTTTTAATAAATTTTTAGTTTTAATTTCAAATATATCATTTCTTTTTATCTTATCTGGATGAACTATTTGATCTATCATATATAATTAGGAATGTTGAAAAATTTAGTTTTCAGTCTAATTTAAATCATAACAAAATTTTAGATTTAACTTTAAATATATTCTAAATATTCTAAATAGTATATAAATATTTAGTTTAATAAAGATGATAAGAT